CCCAGACCCACCTGTGCAGAACAGGCAGGTGTGTTCTCCTCCCATCTCAGACACCGGAGAAAGCGGCTCTCTGCTTGTCCCTGCAGATGGTAGAGAAGGCAGATCAGATGATGGCTCCTCTCTGCCCCTGGCTGGCGGGGGCTGCTCTCTAGCTACTCTCGGGCTTGCTTTGTGTCACCTTGCTGTGACAGAGAGAGAGACCTGCTCAGCTGTCCCCACTGAGGACCGAGGACACTGAACCCCAGAGACACAGCCACTGGGCGATGCAAAGCAGGGCTCTCTGACATGGGGCAGACACTTCTTGACCCTGTGAACAACTGCGCCCCAATCCCCTCTCTCACCTCTGGCCCCCTCTCCCTGGCTCCTGAACTCTTTCATCTCGTTCCCTGGCTCTTCCTCTGTTCCCACCTGGCCTCTCCTCCACATGGCCGAGCTACCCTTTGTGAGTATTTAGGGCAATGCCAGGGGGCTTCTGAGAATTGGGAAACCCCCCCCCCAAACACATGATCTTTTAATTCAATTTTCCATGAACTTCTGGAAGCCCCCGCGTAGACTGGAACCCACAAAGGCCCTTTGCAGCAGTAAACCAGCTTCTCCTCCTCCACTCACCTTTCTCTGTCCCCGTGGCATTTGGAGAGGCCTACTGGATGGTGGAGCCCTGGTGGCAAGGTGGACACACCTTGGGCTGTAGGTCCACACTTCCCGTGGCTCTGTGGGAGAAAGGTGAGGCTTTCTAACTCCAGGCAAGAGTGACAGCTGCAGAAACCCCCAGGGGGCAGTTCTAGTCTGTTCTAGAGAGTCACTATGAGTGAGTGAATGGATGACAATGAGACCGGTCAGATGCGCCCGTGACTGCAGACTAACCCTGCAGATGGAGCCCAGGCCGAGGTCAAGGTAGTGGGCGTGCTCATGCCAGCCCCTCCTGCGTACCAGGCATGCTGCCCTGACCCTCTTCCCTGCGTTTCCTTTCCAGCTTGGCATTGGCCTGCCTGCCATTCCTAGTCGTGAGGCAGGGACGCTCAATGCGCACTGGAGGAGTGGATGAATGGGTACCCACCACCTCGTCCCTTCCCGGAGGGAGGTGGGGGATATGAATAAGGAAATGAATAGTCTGCCACGCTAGGAACATATGTTCCAGTTGGAGAGACCAGACAGAGCAGTATCACTAAGTCCTTGTGCAATTAAGTGTTAAATTGCCCGGTTGAGACTCTATGTGTAGCTGGAATACAGAGATGGAGAAATCAATGGGTGCGAGGGAGGGTGGTCAGAAAGGGCTTCATGAGGAGGGGTGGGAGGTAGGTCTGGCAGAGAGAGCAAGCCCACACCGATGCTCACACAGCCTTGGAAGGAACTCCCGATTTTCAACTAAGGGAGAGTACTTACAGGTTCTTTGGGGTGGATGGAAAGACACCCATAGTTTGGCCCGTAATCTCTCTGGCTCCCTGCCTCACGTTCTGCGGCCCTCCTTAGCTCTGAGGCCTGACTGTGCCTCCCATGGGCTCCTTCTGGAGGGGAACACCAAAGGGTCTGAAGATGTTGAGGGATTTTCTTGGGGGGTGGGTTGTTTTGTTTTCTGGCATGTCCAAATGCCCTCCACCTGTTAAGAGTCTCTCAGGCCTACTCTCAGGTGTGTGGAGGGGGGAGTTGGTGGTCTGCCCGCTCCCAACTACCTTTCCCACCGCATCTTCTCAGTTGCCACCTTGGTCCTTCTGCTTTCTGTCATCGACTGGTGGGCACGAGTAAGCACGACCCTGGCTTTTGCCACATGTGACCATGTTTTGTTCTCCAGGGAGGGAAGGCTGGTTGGAAATGCTGGTTTCCCTGTTTCAGGGCTGGGCGGAGGGTTGACGATGAGCTCAAGGAAAAGCCAGGAAACAAACCCACGAGTCGACGAGGACAAGAAGAACTGCTCGCTGGAGTTTCCAAGGTTGTCACTGTGATGGGAACAGACTGTCGGTCCCCCGCCAAACAGCTGAAGGAAGGGGAAACACATTTGTAGCTTTCCTTCTTCTTTTCCAATGAAACCAAAAACCCACACCGAACTTACTGCCATTGGGTTGATGCTGACTCATAGCGAGTCTCCTGGACAGGATGGAATGGCCCCTGTGGGTTTCTGGGACTATAACTCGTTACAGGAGTAGAGGCCTCATCTTTATTTCTCAGAGAAAGATGCTGATGCTGCACTTAGCAACCCGATATGTAGCCACTGTGCCATTACAGAGGCGCAGACTGTTGGCTCCGGTAGGACCTTGAAGGCCCTCTCTACCCTCCTCTTGCCCAGGAGCAGTGGGACCCGACAGAAAGGGCATCCACGGTGTTGTACCAAGACCCGTGTTTGCGTCCTGGCTCCTTTGTGAGTGGGAAATCTTTAGTTTCTCTGGGGCTCCACGTCCTCACATGTAACGTGAGATAATAATAATAGCAGCCCGTCAGATATCACTGAGGCTTATTAAAAACAATAACGGAGGCTTATTAAAAGCTATTGAAAGGTAAAAGTACCTTTTAAGCTGGAAGGAGAGCATACTTTTTCTTAACTTGATCAATATTGCTAGTTGCCATCAAGCTGGTGCTGACCTATAGTGACCCCGTGAAACACTGTCCGCGGTCCTGCACCATCCTCCCAATTGTTCCTAGGCTTGAGCCCACTGTTGTCACCATGGTGACAACTCATCCCTTTGGAGGCCTTCCTCTTTCTCGCTGCCCGTCTACTTTACCAAGCATGGTGTCCTTCTCCAGGACACAACTGTCCAAAGAATGCAAGACGAAGTCTTGCCGTCCTTGCCTTTAAGGAGCACCCTGCCGTACCTCTTCCAGAGCAACTTGGTACATGACATGGATCCTAGGAGCTCAAGGGATTCTCCCAGGTGGCCTGAAAAGGTGGGAGCAGAGCTGGATGGAGAACTCCTGTGCCCTGACTCTTTGGCGCTGGTGCTGGCGACCTTCCATTTCCTGCACCTCACCGCTCTTGGGGGCTGAGGGGCGTGGGGTACACTGGAGAAGGTTGGGTGTACCCTTCACATTGGCACAGCCTGCCAGACCTTGCCTGTGTGCTTTCTGACATTGACCCTTTTCCCATTACTTTCAAATGACACCAGATCCCGTGTTGCTACTGAGTGTGGCCAGTGGGCGCTGGGTGGCCATTGCTATGAGTTATCAAACCCAGCCGAGAAGTCCAGGGTGCCAAGGGGAGGGCGGGCAGCTGGTGTCAGGATTGGTGAAGAGGGGAGAAGTATGTCTAACCAACCTCTACCTCCCAGGAATCGGCTCTGGGCTGATTCTAATGGCAATTCCCCTTCCCCCTGAAGTTAGAGGAGCCCTGGTTACACGTTGGACTGCTAACCGCAAGGTTAGCAGTTCAAAACCACCAGCTGCTCTTTGGGAGACAGAGGAGGTTTTCTACTTCCATAAAGAGTTACAGTTTTGTCAAGTAGAAAGCAAATGTTTTCAGAATGATGATGGCAACAAATGTACAAATGTGCTTGACACAATGGATGGATGGATGGATTGTGATAAGAATTGTACAAGCCCCTGATAAAAAGATTTAAAAAAAAAGTTGCAGTTTTGGAAACAGGGCAGTTGTACCCTGTCCTATAGGATCGCTGCAAGTCTGCATCGACTCGACGGTAGTGAGTTCGGTTTTGGGGTTTTAACTAGCACATTGCGTCTACCTGTTGCTTTCTCAGTGAGGCAGAGTTTGAAGGTGGGTGGGTGGGGTCGACTTTATGACTAGCTTTGCGTTCCCCCCTGAGGGTGTTGTCCTCAGGGGTCTTGTTTTTGTGTTCTCAGTGTGTTCATGGCAGGGAACACATTCTACGATGTGCCAATTATTGAGGACATATCATTGAGGTGGAACTGTGGGTTAGTTTTTAAGCTACAACTGCAAGGTGGGTGGTTCAAATCCACCAGTTGTTCTGAGGGAGAAAGGTGAGGCTGTTTGCGCCCATAAAAGTTCATAGTCTTAGAATCCCTCTCCATGTTTGTTGTGAGTCAGAATCGACATGAAGGTAAGGCCTTAGTACTTGCTCCTTGAAGCTGCTTTGAAAAACGAATGTTGATTTACATGAAGAACATTGGTCAAGGGCACTAGCCTATGAGGAGTGGGTGTTACTGCTATTTGACATGGGCAGAGAGGTAGCTTCCTGCCACTGCCCAGGCTGATGCTCACAGTCCATATGCAAAAGGCATGAGGGTAGGAGGAGGATGGGATTGCCCACGCATTTGACTTTGGGTGTCCTGATAGTCACATAACCCTCCCAGGCCAGGCCCTTTGCTGGGAGCTGGGGTGACAGCCCTTAAGCAGCTCATTGCCTAGCGGGGAGCACTCTAGGTGTCCACATAGAGAATATTTTATACCATGCTGTGGACGCTTGAGAAGCAGCGTTCTGCTTAGAGAAGGCTGAGGAAGGTGGTGGAAGGCTTCCCCTGCCCATGGGGATGTCTCTCTCTCAGGGGCCTCGGGCCTTCCTGGGGGCTGCCCCATGAGGTAGTTGTGTAAAGTATCATTGGATCCATTTTGCCGATGCGAAGAATGATAACGTTGAAAGACTGGAGTAAGGCCCCGGCAGAAACATGGCCCAACAGAAGGTGTAGCTCACGTCCCTATCTGGTTTCCATGTACTCTCTGCAAACCCACCCCAGGGCTTCTGAATGCCCCTTGCCTAGAACATGCATTCATAGGGGGCTTTTTCCAGGCTGTCAGGTCCTTGTTGCCAGCCCGTCCGTGGGCAGTTCTTAAGCCTCACGAGGTGCCTGGCACTTGAAGAAGTCTCTGTGTCCGCAAAGAGCTCATGGTTTGCCAGGGAAGGCAATCTGCTTGCCCATTCCCCCCCCCACCCCCTCCCAACTTGGTTGCCCCCACTCTGCCCTTCCCCCTGCCTGGCACCCCCTCACCTTTGGAAGTTGCAGAGAGGAGACGCAGTGCCCTGGCTGCTTGGAGGAGGGCGGGAAAGCCGCCAGACTCAACTTCTGTTTTCTCCTTTGGGTCTTCTCGCTGACATCAGGTCCCGGCTGGCAGACTTCCACACCAATTGTCGAGCCTCCTACCAGACACTCACCAGCTGCCCTGCGGACAATTACCAGGCATGTCTGGGCTCCTACGCTGGTATGATTGGTAAGCATCTCCCTTGAGGGCCTGGGGGTCACTGTGCCTCCTTGCTGCCCATATTTCCATGGGGCAGAGCCGAAGCCCAGCTTAGGCCAGCAGATGGAGGCAGCCTGAGCCTGTCCTTCTCTGCTGGACCTTGGCAAAGCAGAGGCTAGGGTGGCTCTTTACTGAGGAGGCAGGACTCAGCTTTTTGTAATGGGGAGGGGAGAAGGGAGGAGAAAGGTCCCGAGGCATTAGAGGCTTTTGAAACAATAACAAATGTAGCATTCACTGCCTGGTTCAGGCTCTGGGCTAAGCACTGTATAGGGGCCATTGTACTTCATTCGTACAGCACCTGCGATCTGCATCCCCATTTTATAGGTGGGGAAATCTAGGCTTAGAGAAGTTGAGAAACTTGCTCAAGGTCATATACTAGTGAATGTTGGCACTGGGACCCAAACCAGGAGGGGAGCCCAGGTCTCCAAGAATCCAGAGCACTGTCGTCCCTTTCTGTGAGCCCAGGCAAGAGCAAGGGCTCGTGCTCTGCGAGGGGCCCCGAGTGGCCTCTCTGCTGCCCTTTATTGAGGAAACCAGCATCCCTTCTGCCTCTGGCCGGTCTGCTCCCTGCTGCCCCCATGCTCATTGGTACCACAGAGCCCACAGCTCAGACTGCGTTTGGGATGTATGTATGTTTGGGGGCAGGGAGAGTGGAGGGGAAGCAAGCTTCCGCCCTGCGGATCTGGGGGCCCCAGGAGAAAACCTGACCATTTCTCTCTCCTCCCCGCCCTTTCTCCTTGCCCAGGATTTGACATGACACCCAACTATGTGGACTCCAGCCCCAGTGGGATTGTGGTGTCCCCATGGTGCAGCTGTCGTGGGAGTGGTAACATGGAGGAGGAGTGTGAGAAGTTCCTCAGGGACTTCACTGAGAACCCATGCCTCCGTAAGTCCTAGAGAGCTCTCCCCGCCCCCAGCCAGCCATGCCTCTCCGGCCCCATAGCCATTCCACGGGAATGACCAGCAATATGTTTCGTAGATATCTATAAAGAGGGGGAGGTTCCAAAAGGTTGGTAGGAAAATTCCATCCTCTTTCCATTCTATTTTCCCATGACCTTTTAAAAGCCCCCTCATATAGCTACAGACATGTGTGTATCTTCTCTGCAATGTGTGTTGCCTACAGGGAGCTTGCCTTTTGTGCTTTCAGAGAGTCACACCAGAACTCTCATGACCTCCAGCGGCCCTTGCCCCTATGACAAGTCGTCGGTCTCTGGTCTGTTACACTGAGACCTGTACGGGGTCTATATCCCTTTGGATTTGGTGATGTTCTTGTCAAGTCATCAAACTCCTAATGGAAAGTGTGTGTGTGTGTGTGTGTGTGTGTGTGTGAGAGAGAGAGAGAGAGAGAGAGAGATTAGCCACAGTCAAGCTGTGTGTCTGAGCTTTCCATCTTTCCACTCATTGCTCCCCCACCCACCTGAAGACCTCTTCCCTTTCTTTTCTTCCTCCTGCCCACTTGTCCATCCCTCCTTTCTCTATGGGACTGAGGATTCAGAGATAAACAGCCCACATCCCTGCCGGGAGGCTGGCCAGCAGTCACAGTGTGGGGCAAGCAATGCTAGAGGTCTGCACTGTGGGCCTTGGCACCCCACGGTGGGCCTGAACCAGTCGTCTGGAGGATGGGGCCCCTGTACGTTTGTCACTGATGGAGCGCTGGCCATTGCTGCGTCGAGGAGGCGGGACAGGCATTCCAGTCCACCATGGGCAGCATCCAGGGCTCCACGGTGGGCTGAGGGGACTGCAAACCATCGAGCCTGACAATAGCACTGAGGGTGTGAGAAAGGCGAGGCTGCCTGCTTCCATAAACATGGATTTCCAGCCTTGGAATCCCTAAGGAGCAGTTCCCCTCTGTTCTGTAGAGTGGCTGTGGGTAGGAATCACCTTGGCAATGGTGGGCTTTGGGGACCAGTGTTGAAGAGGGGTAGGGTGAAAGAGTTACTGGGGCAGTCCTCATGACGGGCTGTACAGACCGGAAGGAGTCTGAATTTTATTGTTCAGCAGGTGGTGGTGGTGGAAGTGTAGGGTTAACTGAAGGAATTTAAGGGGTTGGTGGTGGGATACGATCTGTGGGATACTTCAAGAGGCTCACCCTGGTTGTAGTGCAGAGCGGGTAGGGGTTGGGGATATGGGTCTGGCAGGTGACTTACAGAGAGTTCAGTCAGAGGCGATTGTAGCTGTTTTTTCATTTGTTTTCTTTTGTTGTTCCTGGTGAGGACAATGGAGATTGTGAGCCAGAGCTAATGAGAATGAAGAAAAGAGACAGATGCCCCTATAACCACCTATTGACCCAGATGGATGGTTAGAGAGGTATCATGGGTGACCCACAGGTTTCTGACTTGGGAAACTTGGGTAGCTAGAGATTCGCCCAACGAGACTGGAGATGAAGTGGGGAAGCCCTGTCGGGAATGGCAGGGAGAGATGTGGAATTGAATTTTAAACACCATCGAGTTGGAGGTGTGTGGGGGCCAAGGAGGTAGTGATTTCTGTAGGCACTTGGTCCTGGGGTTGAATCCTGAAGAGAGCTTAGTTCAAACAGTGAGCTTAGTTAGTCCTCAGTGATTCAGTGCTAACTGGGGGGGCATGAGGCCGGGTGAGAGCCCCCAGGGAAGGGCCTGAAGGGATGAGGGACAGGGTTGCCTTTAGGGGGCTGTTGGAATGCTAGCAGAGGACAGGCCACATTGGAAGTGGGAAAGGAGCCCAGATGATCAGCACCTGGGGAGTGGGTGTGGGGAAGTTCCTGAGGGAGGAGTGACCTGCGACCCTAGATGTCGCCCACCTTGGCACGACTCGCTCTTTCCTTCTGGCCTTCCCATTCTGCCCAGTTTCCTCTTTCTCCCCCTCCCCTCTTCCAGACTCCTTACTACATTCATTCCTTTCCACTCTGGAGTTTCTGTCATGTTCAACCTTCCTTCTCCAGATGTTATTTCCTTCTCTGGATGTAAGACCCGGTGGGGCCCAGGGGAGTTGTGGTGGAAGGGTCCTTGATCTCTCAAGATCTCTTTGCTTTCTTCCCCCAACCCCTCAACAGGGAATGCCATCCAGGCCTTTGGCAATGGCACAGATGTGAACCTGTCCCCGAAGAACCCCTCATTCCAGGCCACCCAGACCCCTCAGGTGGAGAAGATTCCTTCTTTGCCAGATGACCTCAGTGATAGCACCAACCTGGGGACCAGTGTCATCACTACCTGCACTTCTGTCCAGGTGGGGACAGGAACTTGGATCTGCAGCAAGGGAGATGTGGGTAGGGGCTGGCTGCGAGCCTGGGGGAGTGGAAAACTATTAACCTGGAGGCCAAGGAGCGAGTAGGGACCTGAAAGGCATGGGAGACCTGGTGGGGGGGTAAATGTTTCATATATTTATGCATTTAGGCTTACATCTTACAAGCGTTAAATGCCTACCAATCACAGTATTCTGCTAGATACCAGAGACATGTAATGGTTACCATTTCTTAGCCATCGGCTAATTACCAAGTAGTGTGCTAAGTAGACTCACCGTGGCCTGTTTCCTTCCAGCTTCACAGCAGCGAGGTGTTGCTCTTCTTGTTTTACACACAAGAAGCTGATGTAGAGAGGTGAGGTGACCTACTCAAGGTCACACAGCTGATTGGTGGTGGATTCAGATTTGAAATTACATGTGGCTTCAGAACCTTTCACTTTGTAGATTCATCCATCTGTCCATGCATGGACCTGGCCATCCATCCATCCATCCATCCATCCATCCATCCATCCATCCATCCGTCCATCCATCCACCCTTCCTTCTAGTCATCCATCCATCCACCCACCCATCCTTCCTTCCATCCACCCACTCACCCACCCATCCTTCCTTCTATTCATCCATCCATTTACCCATCTGTCCATCTACCCACTCACCCACCCATACTACCTTCCTTCCTTCTATTCATCCACCCTTCCTTCCATCCACAACCACCCATCCATCCAACATGTCTTGTATGCCCTGTTGTAGATGGTAGCCATCCATTGGCAAATGAGGAAGGCAGGATCTTGGGTTTTGTGTCCTTATGGTCCTGTGGAGGGTTAACAATGAAACGAGCAGCAGCCCCGTGGATGTGGTCAGTCCTGTGGTCGGAGACGGAGCTGACACTACATCACAGTGTTCCCCACTTGCTGAGAAGCCCAGCCTTGTATCCCACCAACTGCTACAGTTGGTCCTTAAGAGATTCATTCTAGGCAGACACCTCCCACCGCCCCCCCACTCACATAAACCTAGAAGCACTCATCCATAACATACACTCATAACTCACAATACAAGGGATGTAAAAGAAAGCCTAATTCATAATCTCAGGGAAGTCAAAGGAGGGAGGGGACAGTAAGTTGTTGGGTGGAGGTGGGGAGAGGAATGGACAGCTGGAGTCGGGACTTGAATTGCTCAAGAGATTGGCTTTGTCTGAAGGCCAGTCAGTAGGGGTACAGCCTGAGCATAGGAGCAGGGGAGGGAGCAGGCCAGAACGTGTGCCAGACAGTGAAGAGAGCGGCCTGAGTGGGCAGTAGCTTCCTGGCATCAATGATAAGTATTGACAGTGCCAGGAGGGCTTCAGCAGGGCGGGGCGTCTCAGAGACATCCAAGCCCTCCTAAAACCCCTGTGTACTATAGATGCAGGTGCTGGTGCCCGCCCCGGTCAGGATGCCTTCTCCCCACCTCATGTCCTCTCCCCAGAGGGGTCCCGGCTCTGTCAGAGCTGACCTCCCAGTGCTTTCTTGTAGGGTTGAGCATACAGCCTTCCCATGCCCTGCTACCCTCAATTAGACCGGCCCCTCCTGGTTTGGGATGAGATGCCAGCGTCACTCTCGGACAGCTTCTAATTACACAGACATGCTTGAGTAGCTGGCAGCACGGGGCAGGGGTCCTGCCGCCCTGACAATCACCAGCTCAATTTCATGCTTGAGTGGTGGGCAGCTCTGCTGGTCAGGCCTGTGCCACCTGTCCAGTGACCACATCGGTGACTCGGGATGTCCCTCTGGGCCTCAGCAGCTCCTGCCTCCTTTGCTCCTGCAGCCCTTCTGGGTGGGCTCCTCTGGGGAGATGGTGACTCGGCCTTCCCCCAGGCCTCTCTCACTGTGAGTCACCTCCAGCACCGACAAGTTCCTAGCTGTGGCTTTGGGCCTGCCCTCTCCACCAACCCCCTCTGCTCTCTGATGACTCTGTAGACCCCTCCTTTCCCCTGCCCTCTCCCCTCAGCAGTTTGCTGCATCGTGTTTCTGGATCCTTTTGAGCCCCCTCCTGGTTTTCTGCAGACTCACTGTCTGGGGACTTGTCTTAATTTTGGTTTGATTCCAGGGGAGATAATGGACGATCTGTATGTGAGATAATGCATGTGAAAGTGCTCTGTAAACTGACAACCACTACACAAATGTTAGGTTTCTTTCAAACCCTGGGGGCTGAGAAGGCTGCTGGCAGGTAGCTCCCACACGCTTGGCCACTCCAGCCTTCTCTAAGTCTCTCTCTCTCTCTGGGCGGGTTGGCCAGGGACCACCATCCCAGGAGGAAAGGAAGAGAAACAAAAGAGGCGC